TTTGTTGCTCAGGGGGAGTTTAGTAGCCTTGTATGTCGATTTTGTGAGTCAGTCTTTGCAAGTTTGGTTTGGGAAGTTCAACACTGGAATTTTATCACTCGGTGTTTTATCGGTATTATGCATCAAATCCAGTATTTAATGAGAAGACAAGCACATTGAGATTGACTGTCAATTTTGTGAAGTCGACTGATCAACTTGCAGATATCTCACCAAGTCCCTCATCGGTCCTCGTGTTAATTACTTTTGTAACAAGCTAGGTACATGAATTGTATGCACTAGCTTGAGGGGGAGTGTTAGAATATGAATAGGTTTATACAATCCTATTAGAATAGGAATAGGTTTATACAATCCTATTAGAATAGGAATAGGTTTATACAATCCTATTAGAATAGGAATAGGTTTATACAATCCTATTAGAATAGGAATAGGTTTATACAATCCTATTAGAATAGGAATAGGTTTATACAATCCTATTAGAATAGGAATAGGTTTATACAATCCTATTAGAATAGGAATAGGTTTATACAATCCTATTAGAATAGGAATAGGTTTATACAATCCTATTAGAATAGGAATAGGTTTATACAATCCTATTAGAATAGGAATAGGTTTATACAATCCTATTAGAATAGGAATAGGTTTATACAATCCTATTAGAATAGGAATAGGTTTATACAATCCTATTAGAATAGGAATAGGTTTATACAATCCTATTAGAATAGGAATAGGTTTATACAATCCTATTAGAATAGGAATAGGTTTATACAATCCTATTTAGAATTGAATAGGAATAGAAACAGGAATAGTAAGTAGTATCCTACTTGGTAAAGGATTGTATTGTAGTGTCTATAAATAGGGTCTCAATGTAATAATGTAGACACAACAACAATTCAATAATATTCTTTTCCTATATTTCTCACAGGTTTGACTCAGGTACCATGTTAAAAAATTGACCTTGGACCTTACTCAATCTCAAAAACTAGCCCCGGAGGTGAGAATTGTCCAAGACAATAAAAGGAGACAACGACCCATTTCCCTCACCAATATGGCACACTTAGCATGTCAAAGTCGGCAAGGCCTTCAATATAGCCTGATGTATAAGAATCAAAGAAAACTTTAAGTTAATGGAACTTACTGATACAAAAATTCGTCCCGTTGTACCAAAAGCAGCCTGACCAATGTCTGGGTATGTCTCAATCCCCGGTTGGCTATCCAAGCAGTACCTCAGGAGCATGCCAGTATAGAAAGAAAGCACACCAAAAATGAATAATATTGGAAGTCCGGCCCATCCACCTTCCTTCACAGCATAAGGAGTAGAAAGGATTCCTACTCCGCAGAGAACATTCATGCCTGTATATAAAATCAACCAAAGAATGTATGAGAAGACTTGTGGCTCACTATCTCTGAAGGCAATCAATTTAGATAGAGAAATACAACCAAGAGCTTTCCTTTTGGTCAAAGACATAACAGGCGTTAGAAAAAAGACTGAAAATATTTGGAGCTGTATTTGAAGTCTGAATATTATTAAGCAAAATAAACAATCTCATGCAATGATGATAGATATATTAGACGGATAAATTTCATTCAACATTAATCCGAAGAAGTGAATACGATATCATGGCTATGACACCATAGAATAAGCTAAATGGCAGCACTTGGGAAATGGGAACTGTTCACTACAGTGGCATGTCAATCCTCTGGTGGCATAGTGCTCATCAATAAACTGAAACATGCACCATGACTTGAAATTATATACAGGAAACATACCATTTACCACTGCTTGGCCATAGGAGCTTTGACGAGAAATTGGAAGTCCATCTGCATCCTTGGAGGGTTTCTCATCATGAGAAATATGCTTGTACACTGCTTTTTCTTCTTCTGCTGGCGGTATGAGAGGCTTGTGAAGAGAAGGCAATATCTCAGGAGTGTTTCTTCTTATGAGAGATGAGCCAAAGAATGAGCTTCCTAGCTGAGATAATGAAGGTGCTCCCAAGAAGTCAAGACTTGGAGATGATACATTACTGTATAGGTCCATAGATTTCCTATAAGAGGTACTCAAAACGATTAAAATTGGGAGATCGATGTTCAATGCACTGAAGTCCTCATGGATGATTGGGTTCATGTGCATAAGTAACGAAGTTTGATAAATATAGTTGACTTGTCAACTTAGTCCATGTGCACAAGAGATGAAATTCAGTATTCCTTGTCAAAGCTTTACGTATGATCGATCATTGTTTTGTACACATCATAACAGTAATTTGACAACATATCAAATGGCCACAATTAGTTTAGAGACAGGACAAGAAGTACAAATGTCTGATAATTAAAGAAAACTCACTAAAATATGAAACATTAGATGAAGAGTGAAATACCTGTAACTCTGAGGCCAAGCAGAGGTTAAGGAATAATTGGGACGATTATTTTCATCATCATTATTGTCTTCATCGGAAAAATCAGATTCATTTTCATCATATTCCTCTTCTTCACTCTCTATGTAGAAACTCTCTTCACATACAGAATTCTTCATCATCTTAGCTCCCACAAACCTACGCACCAAATTTCATCAAATCAAACAAAAAAACGTAACCCTTTGGAGTTGTTGAACTTTGCTTCTAGCAATCTAATTCCGTACACTTACAAGTGGAGAAACCAATTAATTACAAGGGGAAAAATAATAAGAAAGAAAATTAAATAAAAACTTGCTATAAAAGAGCAGAAAAGAAGTTCCAATATATATATACCAGACGAAGACGATGAATGGAAAAAAGAAGTGAAAATTAAAGGATAGAGGTAGGCTTTTTAAAATTTCTCTGCAACTAGCTAGCTACTAAAATGTTCAGACTTGAATGTGCTATTTATATGGGCATGATGTGATCTCGGATTGGACCGGGATATGGAGAAAATTTTGTTGAGAGGGTCACTTTAGTTGGGACTCCAATGCGGGAAAAAATAATACAGGAAAACACATACTCTCTCCATTTCATATTAATTGAATTGTCGAGGTGTTAAACAATTAAATTAATTTAAAAATGAAAAATGTCTCAACAATTCAATTAATATGAAATGGAGGGAGTTTTTTTTTTTTTTTTACCCCTCCCTAGTTGCTCCCACCCCTTTTGCTCCCTTGGTGACTCGAACTCGCAACCTTCGAGTTGGAAGTGAGGGTGCTTATCATCCGAGTAACACCCTATCGTCAAGGGAGCATATAATGAGAGAGAGGGCGAAAATGCCTTAATTTACGATCATGTTTTTGGAAAGGGCTAATTAATTGAGTTGAACAATTTCTAATCACGAACAGTGCACCGCCACTTGTATTAATTTGGTTTTTCGTTGGTCTTAAATATATTTAATTATTTATTTTAAAATACGTACTTCAGTACTATTTCTACATTACGTTATTGAATTTACATTCTAGATATTTTGTTTTAGTTCGATATAACGTTTAGACTCTAGAATCACCATTTCCAAACTTTCAACTTAGCTATCGTTTACTTCATCATATGTCTCATCAATCATTACTATTTTATTAATTCGTGAATAACATACACCATGATACTCCCTTTGAATATCTCATGTCAATTCATTGATCACCACAACAAATAAGAATAGATTCTTGGTGCAACACTATCATAAAAGAAAAGTGTTCTAAATCTTCTCCCAAACCCCAATATTGTTCTAACCTGAGTCTTGGCTCCATGCATGCCTCCATTATACATGTCCGTAATATGTTTGTCTCATATTTCCTTTTTAATGGTTGTTTATTGTGAACACGAAACACCTAATTTTTTTACCATATCTAAATCTTTTACACAATATTATCATTACTATTTATTTTTGGCTTAATTTTGATGTTTTTATTTTATTTTGAGCAAGTTTTACTTGTAAAAAATTTAAAATAAAGTCACATTTTAGGATGCAAGTTTTGCTTTCATTTTCAAAAGAAAAGAAAATTTCCAAAGAAAAATATGTTTTCTTTTACTTTAAGTTTTAATAAAAAATTAGTAATTGATATATTTTTCTGTGATATTTTTATATTAGTTTAGCTATATTTTATATTCAGCCACAAAAATATATATTTTTCCAATCTTCTTTGCACACTCATATCATTTAGATACACACAAATCACATTTTAATCACTATTCAAGGTCTCCGGTTTAAACATTCATTTGGTCAATGAGAATCAAACGTGTTAATGTAATATTCTTTCTTTAATAATATAATATAAAGTCCACTTGTAAGTTTCTTGATGTTCACATTGACATTATCATACATTGATGCAAATGAATGTATGCTGTATCATGTTTATCGGTTCTTTGAATTGTTATTCATAATTTATTTTTGAGAATAATCAGTGAATTCAAAAGAAAATTTTACTAGAAAATGGACTCATTCAATTAAATTGCTCATGAATTGAATATTAAACATGAATAAAAGAATTTGTGTAAAATGTTCTATTATTTTTTTTAATTTACAAGGGTTGACTAAGTTGGTTGAGTGAGCGATTTCCTACTAGGAAGATTTGAGATTGATTCCCTTGATCACCAGCTAGTAGTTTTCTAAGTCAAATCTAGTTGGTTGCACTGAATTTGCCAAATTAGTGTAATTTATATTACGTATAATTTGTAAGCAATTACACAAGAGCGAATTTATTCAATATGCATCCAAACGATAAAGATTGTGAATTCCCTTACGGTCCCCCCACACACACAAAAAGAGAATGGTTAGGCTGATGATAAGAAAAGCTAAGGTGTTAAGGTATGTCGAGCTTTAAACAAATATAGATACATTTAAAAGACTTCTTGCAATTAAAAATGGGATTACACACTTTTTCAAGATGCATAAAAAGAAGTCAAAGAATGTGATTATGCATCTCAACTAAATTATTATAAATAATCAAAGGTCTTTGACTTAACTCAAGATGTATAATTAAACAAAAAATATTAGGCGATATATACACCAACAAAAGAATGATTACACTTTTAGGTCCGTGTATGTCAAAACTAAAAGTGCAGTTACACATCTAAAGTGAGATCAATAAAAATTCAATAATAATGAAGCAAAATAGGTAAGCATATACAAATAAAAGTAGTTTTATCCAAATAACTATTTTTAAAGGTATAAGTCAATCATGCTAAAATTACGGGACTGGAAGGTACCTAATACGTTTTGCTAAAATCATATTAATTGAACTCATTAGGTAAAGTATTTATTCAAATGAAATGACCCAACACAATATATTTATCTTGATTGGACCCACACCTCAAGCTATTTTGATGGTATCAATTAGTAATTAAACAATTTTTTTCACTAAAACACTAATGCCATCAAAGTATATAAATATGTACTCTAATGGTATCAAAAAGTAACTAAGTAGTGTTTTCACTAAATCACTATTAAATTAAAATTAAGTTTTCACTTATGTTAGAGGAAAATGGTATATGTGAGTCATTATCAGCTCTAAATAACAAAGTTAGGGGTTGTATCAGGTCTTTTCCTTAAAAAAAAAAAGTAGAACATTTATTTCCAAGGCAAGTTGGATTTTTTCTTGTACATTTTGTAACGACCTGATTTCCGTCGTTATGGAAAAGCCAATGGGGAAATTTCGTAATAACTTGAGATTTCCTAGACTAGTCCAGATTTGGAGGAAATCAAAGTCAATAAGGTCTAGGTAAATCTGGTAACAACTGGGTGACTTATTTATGATTTTGATTACATGAGTAGTTAGATAAGTCGTTAAGGAACCCGTACAACTTTACAGAATTGAATTCGGGTGAGTAGAACTCTTGGAATCGATTTTAGCGTCGTTGGTAAAAGGTGTGTTGTGAAATGGGGTCTTGGATTTATTAAAATAGCTCACTGGTTCTGTGCAAGCTGCTGGGGCGGGATTTCTGCCACCAGGGTGGGGCCGCTGAAGCGGAATAAGGGTCGATGTGGCGGGCCAGACGCGACTTAAGGTTGTAAATAAACCCCTAAACGACCTCCATCTGCACTTTTCGATTTTTGGAGCAAAGGAACGAACCCCAAGCGACTCCTACTCATTTTTCACCATTCTTGAGGCTAAAAGTATGCTTTTCACTCCCCGAATCAGTTTTTCGAATGATTGAATATTGATGGGGGAGGGTTTGTTATAGATTCTATGGTGGAAACAACCCTAATTTGGATAATTAGGATCATGGGTTTGATCTAGGGTTCATAGAATTGTTAGTAATTCGGGTAATTAATGGTTGTTTATTGATTCCCGTATTCTATTGATTGCTTGTAGACCAAGAACAAGCAGAACGAATTCGGAAAGGGAAGGATCAAGTTTCGTAGGGTTTCAAGTTTGTTTCGAGGTAGGTGATGGTTATGATTCTATGATTGTGTGATGTATGTTTGTTCTTGCTTCATTGTGATACATGTATGTATATGAATGCTGCATTATTGATCACACTTGTTGTAAATGAGATAGATGAATGATGGATACCATGAAATCATGACTTAAATGTATGATCTTGAGGATATACTTGTGATTGTGATTGTGGTGTATTAAATGGATCGGCTGTCATGTTTCGACATAACTAACTTGGATCAGTTGCCATATTTCGGCATAACTAACTTGGATTGGTTGCCACGTTCCGACATAACTAACTTGGATCGGTTGCCACGTTCTGGCATAATTATGGGATCAGTTGCCACGTTCCAGCATAATCATTGTATCGGGTACCACGTTTCGGTATGCTAACTGTTTGGGTGTGGGTTTCATGAAAGGACTATTGAATTGGGTTCCGTGAGAGGACCATTGAATTGTGTTGTGTATCTACTTGTGATGAGTTCGTTCATATCTAATGACGATTGATATTGGAAACGGTATGTTGCACTAAATTGATATAACTGTGATATGTGAGAATCGTGAAGTTGTTCATTATTCGTATATGTTGATGATATTGTATATGTTCGATATGTGCATGTGATTATATTGTTAT